GTATGAAGGTGAACAATTACTTCCCAATCTCTTCCGGTATGGGACTTCTCAGTCTCGTTCGACTGAGAACGATAGAGTTCGCCCTATGTATCAGGTGCGTACACCCTTTTCCATGACACTCGATAAGCCTTTTTGCATATCTGCTCACATCATCAACCAGTTGCCAATTACACACAACCAACTCATTTTATAATTACAGAACAATAGAGTGACAATTAAACAGACAATATAAATTGATACTTTAAGAACTAAGAAAAAAACATAATCAGAACATTCATTCCAAACTAATCAATAGATAGGGATAAAACAATTGTGTAAATCAATAAAAGGAAAGACAATGAAAACCATGAATTAAAGTGCATGCAGTAAGCAACCAATAACAGTCTAACAATATACGAACAGTATAGATAAAATAAGTAATTTTGCACTGACCAGTTACCGGCTCCACTGATGACTTGTACTTAATTAATTAAGAGTTTCTAATACTCATAAATTACACTATTATTATTTATTAAACTTTAATTAACCATAACAGGAGAAAAGGGTGAGAGATTTTTACTCTGGATCAATGTTCGAAACACTACCTTTTTCACTACACTTCTTAGTGGTTCTCGAATTTTTGGATTTTTTTCTGCAAAAATCGAAAATACGCGTCACATATCCCAAAATACTAAAAAAAAGGCCAAAATAAGGGTTTTTAAATTTTTTTGCCAATTTAGAGTTGTGCTGTCATGCTTCGGCGTTGGCTCCGCCGCCTATGATGGTGTCTCCTCTTGGTCTGGTCGGTTTCAACCGATTTTATGTGAAAACCTGCAAAGGACGAGGTTAGGTGGCATCTGTTAGTCGAAAAAAGAAAAAACCCAAAACATTACCGGTGGGGTGGTTTTTCGATGTGGCGGTTTTGTCGTTCCTCTTTCACGGTTAGGGATTTTCTTCGGTCGTCCTACACCAGAAAAGGGTTAGAAATTCAATAAATGAAAAATGAAAGGAAATGGGAAGCAGGATCGGGCTCACCAGAGCGATTTTGGGTAGCGGGTGTGGTGGCTCAGCCGAGCTCTGCTCTCAATTTTTGGCTTTTCCTTTGGTTTTTTGATGCCGATATGGGTGTGAGGATGCTTAGAATCAAACTGCGAAGCAAAATAGGAGGAAAAACGCACATCTCCGGTGTTGGCAGCAGCTCTGATGCGATGGCGACGGTGGTCGGCTTTCCTTCCGGTCGCCCTTCTTCTTCTCCGGCGGGGTCAGATGCAGCTAGTGTTAAGGTTTTCTGGAAAACGAGGTTTAAATACCTCATCTGCGTCGATCTGGACCGTCCATGCAGGGACACGTGTCCTATTTCTAGCCGTCGAATCGCTCTTATTTGGAAAATTAATCTGGGCCGCACGATCGGATTAAATCTGGTCGTTCGATCACGTCTAAAGAGGAAACGGATCCGGGCCATCCATGCGTGCGGGAGGAGATCTGGGCCGTTGGATTTATTGGCACGCAGATTGCCCGCGTGATTTCCTTCATGGATGCTTGTTCGCATGTCTGCTACGTGGCGCGCGACGACCAGCCACATTGCTGACGTGGCAGTCCACGTGGCCCTCTTTTTGCTATTCTTACTTTTGCCTCAGTTTTTTCAGATTTATTTTCAAATAGGTCCTTTTTTATTTCTATTTTGACCGTATTTTTAAATACACCCAAAACATAATTTTTTTCAAAATTTCAAATAAAAATTAGAGATTAAATTGTTTTAAATTATTTACTATTAAAATTTGATTATCTCAAGCCTAATTTTTAGGCCCGGGTGTTACATCATAACTTCCTTTTAATATTGCAACCAATCATTTCCTTGGTTTTCTTGGCTTGAATGGTTGTTGGAATGGTTCAAGCCATATGTGCCAAACAACTTGATAACCAATGTCCCCCCTCTATGTTTTATAAATTCATCTTTTCCTATGTCATTAACCTCATAGAGGGCATAAAAGATTATTAGCCTTCTCTATATCATCATTTGTGGGGCACAAAAGAATAGGAGGTCCTCCATAGGCAACTAATCTGTGTCCATCGCCTCTTAAATCGGTATTGAGCCAAAAACCATTTTGTCTTTCCAAGATTGAGCAAGTGTCTTGATATTTACATGGCTCGAATATACGACATGGGGTTCAGAATTAGGAAGAGATGTTGTCATTGAGTTCAGTCATACCACTTTTTCGGTCCCTTTAGTTCAGAGATCAATTTTTTAGTTACTTTTTATTTCACTTCTTAATTTCTTTATTTTGTAAAAAGAAAAACTAAAAATAATTAATATTTTTATTTCATGTTCGGATATATAATTACTTCCTCTATTATTCAAAAATATTAAAATAAGTCAACTTAACTATTTGTGGTTCATATTAGTCCATGAAATTCCCTAATATATAAAAAGAGTGAGAAAATGCTTCCATTGTTGTAGAATAAGAAGTTGTAGTATCTTAATACACGTGTATTTAATTTAATGGAATTATTAAAACGAGATTTACTTTTTTTAAGAATATAAATTGAAGCAATAATAAGAATATTTCTAATGGAACATATTTTAAAATCCTTCAAAAAAGAATTCACTCATAGACTAAAAGATACGTGAGACCATGAATGTTTGAAATCCATATTGTGCTACTAAGACATTGCTTTTGCTAATTTAAATTGAAGGGTCATATAAAATTCGATCTGTTTTTTGCATCATATCCAGACAAATGTAATATTCTAATTAGTACATGAAAGTGTCACTTGTTGCTGGTGACTAAGTGGCTGCGGGGAGCAACAACTAGTTCTAGTTGAATTCGGAAGCGCGCCTAGGCTGGGTGGTGGCTACAAGGAGCAATGATTGCTTCTAGGATCAACTATAAAGGCCGACCGGTGGTGGAGATGGTCGGTCTTGTGGTAGAGGGAGCAACAACTAATTCTTCTAGAGCAGCTCTAATTTATTTTTTTTCTACATTGTAATCTTTTTCTTCTTTAATAATGTCATTAACTCGTTGTTCATATGGAAGCTGACCATGTAAATATATATATTTTTTCTTGCCGCATGGTGTCAGTATGGACATTTACATGGACAACACAACAAAAAAAAACAACTGAGATAAATTTAAGATATTTTGATATATTATGAAGTATGGAATTCAAAAACGAAAGAAAAATAAAATTAATTTAATTCATAGTTAGTTAATCACTATCTTATTTTGGAAGAAAAAAAAATTAAATTCAATTTGGGGATTGTATTTGGGGGATTATGATATTAATTTAATTTATAATTAGTCCATTATTATCTTAATCTGGAATAAATAAACAATAAGATATAATATTTTATGGAATTAAATTGAATTATTATGTTGAGAAGATGCTTTAACTGGGAATTCAAATTCTGTTTTACATATTTATTAACATAAGTAATTAATTTTAAAATATTCTAATTTTTGTGTTGTTCAAATGGACAGAGACATGGCAACCAACATGGACAGCACGTAGCACGCGGACAAGGAGTTAATATTGTTAAATGATTTTAATAATTAAAGGTTTACTTGAACAATTTCAGAAGTAAGAGAGTTAATTTGATTCAGAAATAATTAAGGAGACTTAAAACATTTTTATATAATAAAAAGTGCAATTACGTATTTAAGCCATCTTATATATATTCTTCTAACAATATTTCCTTAATTCTATATACTAGTGCAGTTCTAGAGGGAAAAGACAAAAGCTAAGGTTGATTGGGACAGTAGATATTGGGACCAGAATCATGTTGGTTTTCTCCACCTCCTGTTCTTGCATGCCTCCAATTGCAATAGAGAGAGACTCGTAAATCATATCATGAATGTCTAGTCCCTCAAAAAATCTAGTTAGCATAGCTCACTTAGCAGGCTAGAATTGAAAAAGCATGAAAGTTACAGCCAAAACTAATGAAATTTACAAAATTTAATGATGAGTGGCGACTAAGCAAGATACACATCACAACTTTGGACCACCTAAGCCACTAAGATTATTGTTACTCCTAAATTCTCAAAATCGTTAAAGAGATCTAATCCCTCTGAGGATTAATTAAACTATCAAAAAGCTTTTGAACATTCTGAAACAGGCAATTCTCTCTATTTTTTTCAAGATTATATGGGTAAATTAAAGACATGTTCAGAATGCGCACGACACCCATTAGACTTCTCTTTCCACCAGGGGAGAGTACACTCTAAATCTCCCGTTTTTTCTTCTAATCTGGTTATTGATTACCGATAAACAACACCATAAATGACAAATATCTTATAGCTAGACTAGTACGACCAAAGAAAACTCAGAAAAGACAAAAATTATGAGAATGGAAATGATGACAGCCAAAAATGAAATGGGCATCATCTATTATAGGGCATACTGTGGCATGCATCTTACCTACTTTGACCATGATTTAATGTGCCCAACCCACAGTAAAAGATGGGTTTGAGCAGACATGATGAGAAGCAAAAGAAAAAGAGAAAAAACACGAGGCATCTTTTCAGGCACAAAGATTTGCATGCCATGGATTCATCAAATCAAATTGTTCAAACCTTGTTCAGTTAAAATCATGCTTCAAGAACTGTGTCGGATATAGAGTGCCAAGTTATAGAAAAATAAAGAGACCTCAAGAGTACATTGGGATGAGCACATTATTATCAACTCAATCATTGTCTCCTCAACATGCTTTTGAAAACGTTGAATGCATTGTCAAATTAGTGCATTTCCAGTATAATTCCTTAAAAGAAAAAGTACATTTAGGTAGCCAGCCTTTGCCTCCACAATCGTGGCTTGACCAATTGGAAGACCATGCTTGACCAATACAACAAGGCACAAAGAAAACAGAAGGAAAATTTTCATATTCCTTCAAATAAGAATACGTCACGTAGATACTAAGTGTGATATAGTAAAAAAAAACAAAAATGAAGTTATCTTAAAAATATGAAATAGAAAATAATGCATCTAAGAATCTCCAGTAGTACTGATGTTAAATGCATTGGCAGTTGAAAAAATATTTTAATATTTTCCAATTTCTCTTCCCAATGTTCCAACGGAGAGAATATTTCAGCTCAAGGCTGAATAAATTTTTAGAATATTAACAAAAAAATACAACAGCTTGGTATAGTCATTTTATGCAAAACATTAAAATGAACTCACCGATTCATTCAAATTCCTATGGCATCAAGAAGCTCAGAGTGTTTCTCAACAGAAACCAGTGAATTAGCAACAATTGCACCACTTGCGGCAACTGCAGGAACTCCAATGCCAGGAAAAGTAGAATCTCCACAACAATAAAGCTGTGGGATAGGAGTTGAATGTCCGGGAAATGAATCTTTCCCAGCTTGTATAGCTGGCCCATAAGTTCCTCTATTCCTCCGAAGGAATCTTTGATGTGTCAATGGGGTTCCAACTAATTTCACCTCACATTTCTCCCGACTAAAGCCTGAACCAAGCACACGCTCTACAGCTCTCCACATTACCTAGATCATGAAGGAAGAAGAGTGTTACTTAATTTCAAAGAGAGTTTGATTAAACTTTTAAAAAAATAATCATGTAAGCAGGTAAATTATCAGAAGAGGCAGGAACCAAAGTCAACAACATATCCAAAGTAAAAAAGCAATAATAGTGTGAACCAAAAGGAGCAAACAAATAGGACTCACTGGTTAGATTGCTCATCTCCACCTACTGATGAGTTTTAATGTCAACTTTATAGAGGAAAATAAAACAAATAGCTTTGTTATAGCATCATACAGCTCACATTATTTTATTGATCTTTAAAAGTCATCGTAATTATCTTATGGAATTATTGAAGGACTGAATTCTCTACCAATGTTATAAAGCAGAAGTAGAAACAAAATGATAGCTAAGAGAGAGGAAATCAAGAAACCAAGGTTGTATCTTATAATATTCTAAACAACATCTTTCAAGAAAAAACTAAGACAACCCTCGCCCAACCTATTCATATTAGGCCAGATGTTGGAAGAGAGAGAGAGAGGCATCACTAATTATATTTCTGTCAATAGATTTAGAGACTAGCTGTGCTTACACATCCTTTTCCATGTCCGCAGATGATGTGTAATATTGATCATAATATTTGGCCAACCATGAGTAAGTTTAAGGGCATTTTAAAAAAAAAAATCAAGTTAAGGTTTTACCATCAAAAGCAGCATATCCAAATACCTCTGATCGTTCAGCTTTAAGCTTTTTGTAATCAGAACTGCCACGGTCAAGTCCTTCCCACAATCCAAATGGCTCAGTTCCTGGTGTGTAAGCATGTAAGACATGTTTCCCAGGGGGTGCCAGGTCAGGACTAAGTACGCTTGGTACAGAAATTAAAACGACATTCTGGTCAGCGTCTACTCCTCTATTCCAATCATTCACAACTATATGATGAATGCCCAAGTCCTCACGTATGCCCTGGTCAGCAACATATTTAAAAAAGACAGCACGTAAGATGTAGGAAGCAATCAAGAGTAAGAGATCACGGAAACCAAATGTTTCTAAATGTCATTAAAATATTGCTTAACAGTTGTATATTCTATTCTTGCTTGCATTAGTTTCAATGAGAATCTTTGTGATCCTTGTAAAATCATGTAAAACAGAAAGTATTCTTTTCCTCTCCATGCCATTGAAGTGGAGAGATTTATTCTGTTGCTTATAATAGCTTGAGCATGTAAAACAAACATGGTGTGGTTGAGTGTCAACATGTAAAAGATAAGTTTATCTGACAAAAAGAGGCCCAGACATGATTTTTGCTGTAACAACCTCGTGTGTTTGAAAGTTCAATTTTATACTTCTTTGGTAACAAGTATCTAACAAAAGACTCCAAACACCCAAGCAACACCACAAAGAGGAGAAAAGGGAAGAGGATGAAGAAGAATCTCCTTGAAATATTTCAGTTAAGCAAATTTACTCACCTCAGCATCAAAGCCAATATGGAGATGCATGAATGAATCACATTGAGGTGTCATGTTAATCCGGTCAATATATGATTTTGGAAGAATTTCTTTAGGTAACAGCCTTAAGGTGTCCCACATGGATGCATTACTGACAACAGCCTTTTTAGCACGTATAAGCTGCAGTACAGATAAATGTTTCCTTCAGTTCATAGTATAGGAGGAAAAGGAAAATGCACGCTAGTTTTACACCAATTTCATTTTCTTAACTGTTATTAAAAATCAACTTACTTGACCGCTTCGTAGCTTGACACCAACGGCTTTGCCATTTTCAATAACAATACTTTCCACGTGACTACTTAAAGACAAACGTCCACCAAACTTCTGCAGTCCTCGAACAAGAGCATCAACAACAGCACCACTCCCATGAATAGGGTACTCAAGACAGCAACCTGGTTTGTACCATTCTGCAAACATGTACACCTGAAAATTTTGGGGAAGAAAAAGCAAGAGGAGAATAAATTGAGAGAGGTGTTCT